AAAATAGATCATAACTAAATTTATGCTATTTTTAAGCTAAAATTGTTACACGAACTCTACAGCTTAAGGGATAACTTCCTAGTACAGGTTTTAGCATAATGATCTAACTGTTTACATTTTCCATATTTGCGATCTGTATTATTACTTGTGACATTACTATTCAAACTCATTTCTTCATTACGTGTGTTAAAAGACATATTATCTTTTAGATAACGTTTACTCTTGCATGGTTCTTCTACACTTGACTTGAGCCTTTTAGGAGGGCGACCTCTGTATTTTGTAATAATAGAATTCACAATAATGTGATTTTCATCTTGTTTTTGATTTTCATTTTGCTTTTTATTGTCATTTAGCTTAGTCTGTACTTTATTAAAAAAATTGCCAAGAATATCAAACAGTTCATTATATAAATCAGCTTTAATGGCAAGATCAACTACTTTTTTTAAAAGCCCAAATAGTTTTACATATCTTGTTTTAGCTAATTGAGCTATTGATTTAAAATTTTGTGTGCTAAAACGAAGTGAAAAAAGGTGCTGTAATGTTATATTTTGTACAACTTCAGGGATTACTAGTTGCTTAAATTTAGAAACAGATATTACAGGTATTTGCTGAAATGAATTATTAAGCACTTTATTCAGTTCCAAGTACCAACAGTTCGGAAGAATTGTTATATGAAATATAGCAAATGAAGAATATGTACCAACATGAAAAAAATGTTAGCAGATTAATCCTTTGTTGATTAAAAAAAAACAAGTACCATCATTGAGTAATACTACATAATGACCATACCCAGATGTTTTTATATAACGTACATGCCATACTTGAAGAATCATTTCATGTGGTATATCTTGTATTAAAGATTTGAATAAAATTTGACATGTATCATGTTCTTGTTTTCTAACCCATAACCCAATATCATAATTATCTGTATGCTCTTCAATTAATATTTGCCATTCTCGAATATGCATAACATCATAGCAAACACTCATGTTCATCTGATCTCTCTATTTGCCAAGCATAACTGGCATAAGAAACTCCTTTAAACTTTTATCAACTTCAAAAAAAGCTAACTACTCAAATTTGGTAACCCAACCATTGAAACTGCATTATATTAAATTTCAAATTTCATAAGATGCTCTTCTTAATTAGCACGATTATTAAGACTTATAAGTAAATCATATAATGAGGTTGAGCGATCAACTTTCTGATAAATATGCATATTTATAGACTCGATTTTTTGAGTGCTTTGAGCACCTCCTGTAAATATTTTGCTAATCCAAGGAACTGCCCACAAACTTTTATTAATATAAAGACTATCAGCCAAATATTTAGTAGCTATCGAATAGTCATTTAATAATTTTGGCCATTGATATTCAAAAAGATTTTCGCATAAGCTATTGTGAGAAATATAGAAATCAGATCAAAATGCCCCAAACTGAGAACCCAGTTTTCTTCTTAATTGTTTTTTAATATTTATGTCTATATGAAATATGCATAAGAGATAGTTGGTAATTGAAAATAAATTCTTAATTGCACTTATCATAGACAGATCACTATCCATAAATATTGTTGTAGATGTTATACTAGTTTCTTCAAATATTGACTCAAAAATCCATTAAAATGTATCTAACGTTTTATCTTCAATAATTCCACAGCCTACAATTCTTGTCTTATAATAATTATTAATAATGGTCATAACAAAGAGCAAAAGTTGAAACCGATTTGTATTCGATGTGGTGTCCATAATAACTATGTTATGAAAAGTCTTGTACAAATCTCTCTGAGTTAGTGATATCCAAAATAATGAAATTAGCCTTCTAGATATAGGATCTAACTGTGTCTTAATAATCCAAAAAAGATTTTCTTCTTTCCAGTTAAGAAGAGTCTGGAGTATCAAAGAAGCATCTATATTACCTGGGTTATTTTTTTGTCTAAAATTATATATGGCATTGTATAGGTCACGTTTATATAATAGATGTTCTGGATAATCATGTTTAAGCAATAGGTATATTGATACAGCATCCATTCTGCCTTGAATCACATATTTTTCAATATCAGTCAACATTTGAGGTGTTAACTTGTGAAACTGAAAAGCATTGTCCTAATCATAGAGATAAGTAGATGATTATGTTAGCATTAAAAGAATTAATTGTTATTTCAGATGTTGTTTTAGGAGATGTGATATTTAATTTCCAAAGACATCCTGTTCATTGAGATGCATTATTATACTATTTATTAGAGTCAACTGTTACATTAGAATCATATGTACCCGCTTTTACACACACATAATTGACTTTCTTAAGTCTAGTTCTATCCTTTTCACTAGTTCTGATCCTATAATTAAAGTCTTTCTGTTTTGCAAACTAATCCAACCAAATATTAAAAGATTTCCAATCCGGAAATAACAGCCCTAATTCTAGCATTTAATGGAATTTTCATCACATGACTCTTCTTTCTGGAATTCCTTATCGGCCATTTTACTTAAATTCATTTCAACATTAGATACATTTTTACAATTCTTTATTGAAGAAAAAGTGTGTTGAAACTCATTATAAGAGACAAGTAGATTTGTTATGTTATTATTACAAAGATGAATATCATAAGTGTCTTCTTGAAATAACATGTCTTCTTAAAACAACTGATTACAAGGATAAAAGTTAAAAGATTCATGCGAAATTTGGAAATTTTGATCATAAGAACCTTGAAAAAACTGAATATAAAAGCCAGATTCGTTTTGAAAGTTACAAAAATTCTCAGTATATTCTGGGTTATAAAGACAAAAGTCATTATTATATCCAATATTATAGTCAATTATAAGAGAATCATCCATCACATCATCTATTTCAACTATAAAAGACATATAGTTAATATAAATTGCAAAATATATAGTAAAAGCCTTGAGTTGTGTAAAGGTTATAGAAAGTATAAAAGATAAAGGATAAAAATTACAGGATTTACAAGAATTATTGATATCTAATCAAAGTTATTATAAAATTCACTATATCTATTGTATCAAACACTTATTTCAATATGCAGTATTTTATATTCGCATTTCAGATAAGTATCACACACTTTTACTCTTCATTTTATTGTTATTCTAGTCCAAAAGACTAATCTTTTGCTTCTTTAATTTATCATTATATAGTGTTTTGATTATTACATCATTCATACAATATTTGCTTAAATATACTACCATATACTATGTATTATTTATATATATTGATATACAATACTCTAAATGTCAATTATGTTATGTATTAATTACACAATCTAAATGTTGATCATGTTACGCAGTAATTATTTAATTATTATTATTACACGTGATAGGTTTTATACACTATACACATGATACAGGTTTTATACACTAGATGTTAAATTAGTTATATTCTATTTTTTATTCAAAATTTTGTAATAATATATAATTTAATATAAATTGTAACAGTGCAAATTAATTAAGATTATTTCAAATTAATTAAACTTTTTTTTTTTTTTTTTTTTTTTTAAATTCAGCAGTCTTGTCTTAACTGTTTATTAGTACTCTAAGGTATTGTAGTTACAAACGTATATATATACATTTACAACTATCTAATTTATTACAGATAAGACTTATCCAGTTACTAACTTAGTACCTATATACGACCTGCTATATGAGATTTTACCTCTTTAGTAACCACCCTGCAATTAGACCAATTACTAAATCACCAGATGGTTCCCAAACCTATATTTATCATATATATCCCGCTTATATAC